CGGAGCCCCGCGGCGCAGCCTAGACGGCGAGTTTAGATTAACCCGCTTAAAAAGCCACCAAGCCGCTTCCCTGCCGGCTAGCTCCAGCCTGAGCGCCCAGCCCGGAGGTGGCGGGCCGGCGGGCTGCGGGAAGGGAGGCCTCCCCGGGCATCCCCCCGACACCTGCGGGGGGCGGAGGAGGGAAGAAGCGGCCCCTGCCCCAGTGCTCCCCGGGGGAAACTGACCCGAGCCGAGCCGAGCCGAGCCGAGCGCCCGCCTGCGCCCCCGCGGCGCCGCGTCAGGAGCGGCCCGGCCCCGGCCAGGATTTGCATTTAAAGGGGAATCGGCCTTTCCTCCCCCGCCCCCGGCTCGAGGCCGAGCTGATCACGAATGCGCGGCCCGATGCTGGTTTCCTGCCGGTCACTGGGGTCTGGCTTTGGGGCGAGGGGGTAGATGCGGGCTCCGCTGGTCCATCGGTGCAGAGCAGGAGTGAAGCCAAGGTCAAAGCCAAAGCCTGTGCTGGCTCTTTCTCTGGCACAGCGGCAGCCAGGCAGGACCAGCCCACTCTCAGCAGCCCAGGCGCCTGTGGCAGGGGCCCACGCCCAGGCAGTCCCTGTTTCCTTGCCGTCATGGCCACACGCTGCGTTGAATCCCGGCAGCAAGGTGCCAGCCAAGCCACAAGATCAGTTAAGAGTCCAGGCTGCCGCCGGGCCTCACAGGCTTGTCACCCCGACAGGAGCGTGTCCTTGAAGCCCCTGCTCCCGGGGTGCTGAGAGACGCTCCCTCGCGCTGCCGGCCTGCCAGCCCAGCCCGCTCCCAGCTGAGAAGAGCTTGAGATTGTCACCCCCCAAGACACAACCCCCCGAAGGCAAATACACCATCACTAAGCTCCGTCCGGCCCGGGGATGGTGGTGGGAGAGGCCGTGGAGTCGTTGTCGCTGGAAGCCAAGCGCTGGCTGGGACAGTTCGGATAGCCCTGATCCTGCCGTGAGCAGGGGGTGGGACTAGACGACCTCCTGAGACCCCAGCCCTATTTTCCTATGGTTCCTTGCTAATAACTTCATTACACCATTACCATCCCCTACAACAGGGCAGGGGGTTAGCTTTTGGGCTGCCAATACTGAACTAGGGACTGAGGAAGACAGGACTGAAAAAGGAGCTCTCAGCACAGGCCCCTGCGCCCACAGGCAGCTGAAAAATATGTGCGCTCCAGAGCGACATGCTTATATATCCCAGCGCTCACCCTCCTGGAAATGTGGCTGTGCTGCCAGTAGCCATGTGGAGTAGTAGGAACATATGTCGGTGCTTTCTGTGTTTACTCTGAGTTGTAAGTTGGTGCTAGACTCTGCTAACTCGGGGATCCCACTGAATTTTTTTTTATTAAAATCTCTCTCTCTCTCTATATATATATATATATAATAATATATACATATACACACACACACACACACACATCCTTTATCACAGACTTCCATCGCATCTTCTTTTAAAACCACTTTAAAAAACCCGCACACCCATTACAATAACGGCACCCACTCCCCCATGCCCCCACACACCCACCCTCTGCCCCTTCTTAACCCAAACTCAGTCCCTTAGTCCCGGCCCCGATGTGGGGTTTCCCTTCTCAGTTCATTCTCGGTCCTTGTCGCTGTTGCTTCCACTGCTGCTGATCCTGTTGCTGTCCTCCTCGCTGTCTCCAGCTCCACTTGTGTCGTTGTCCCCTTCGTTCTCCCTGTCCACTCCCCTTCCCCGACCTGTGCCACGTGTCCCTTTTCCAGGTGGAGTTGGCTGCGTGCTTTCCGGTATTAGGACTGGAGTTTGCTCAGAAACATTTTAACACAGTCCGTTTGCTCGAGCTTAACGTGACCGTACACCAGGAGGTTCCTGCATTGCCACAGGGCGCTCCTGATGCAGGACACAACCTGGTCGAAGCGGGGTGTCTGGGCCCCTGATGTTTCGTCAGGTGTCCGTACAGCGCCGCCTCCCTTGTCATCGGCCTGACTCCTGTCGCTTCCTCCAGGAGCCAGCTTACCTTTTCCCACAGTCCCTTGGCATAGGGGCACAGCCGCAGGAGGTGGTCCCTGGGAGTACGCTGTGAGCGATGAACCAGGTCAAGTCTCTGTGGTCTTTTCTTAGGTCTTTGTGGATGATCCGGTGCCAGATGGCCTGGCAGTCATTATCCGGGAGCAGCTCCACGGTGGATAGCCTGCCTCTGTCTCTGCCTGCCTTCTGTATCTTCCTGTGGTTGGACATGGTTTCCATGCTTTCCTTCTGTAGCCCGTACTTGCTCCAGTACTCATTCAGCCCCCGCAGAACCAGCTCCACGGTACATGATCTCTCTCTGGCTGGAGCGTCCCAGGCAGTGACCTGTAAAATACTTGGCAAGGCAGGCTCTTTTGGTTGCTGGCCCGGTCGCCAGCTTGCAGATCTGGCTCATGCACCATGCCCACAGGAACAGGTGGTTGTCTTGCATCCCTCTGCCCCTGGCCCATTTCTTCTTGCACAGGGTCTTCCTTGCCACCTTCTCCATGTTGGATCCCCAGAAGACACACATGGCTCTCTGGATTCTGCGGGTGACACACTTGGGGAAGACCAGTGTGGTGTACAGAAGCACTGGTAGCAACACCGCCTTCATGAGCGCCACCTGCCCCCGCCATGGAGAGGTGGCACGTGTGCCACAGACCCAATCTCTGCTTCACTTTGGCCTCCTTCATCTCCCAAGCCCTCCTTCTGCTCAATGTGGGTCAAACTCCACCCCGAGGATCTTGACCCCCTCATGGGAGACTGACTCCAGGTCCCCGAGCTTGCCCACGGCCAGGCAGGTGCTCTTGCTCCCGTTGAGCTTGGCCCCTGCTGCTGCCTCGTAGATCTGTGTGTGCCACAGAGCTCTCTCTACTGCACGCTTATTCCGGCACAGGATGGTCAGGTCGTCCATGTAAGCCAGGACCTTGGTCTCTTCCTTGCCTCCTCCAGGAATCAGTACTTTGTGTATCCCGGGGTCCTGCCTGATGTGCTGGGCCGGGGTTGAATGGTGCAAATGAAAAGGATCAGGGACAGCAGGCAGCTCTGGCAGACCCCTGACTATCGTGATCTGCTCACTTAAGAACCCATTGACCAGCACCTCGCTGCTAACATCTGCGTACAGTGTCCTTATCCAGCCGCTGAAGGTCAAGGGGACACCCATTCGCTTCAGCGTCTGGAAGAGAAACAGGTGCGACACTTATAGGCCTTTTCCAGGTCCAGGTTCAGGTTCAGCACCGCCCGCTTCTGCCTTCTGCCCCGTTCCAGCGGGACCGCGTCCCTCAGCTGCAGCAGGCTCCGTGGATCTGGCGTCCTGGTACCGCACACGACTGGTCCTCATGGATGATGGCACCTAGGAGGGATTTAAATCACTTGGCCAAGACTTTGGCCAGCAGCTTATAGTCGAAGTTCAGGAGGGTGATGGGCCTCCAGGACCTGGAAGATCTTTTTCCTGGCCTGCTCCCGGTACCAGGCCCCAATCTGGACCTTCGCCTCCCGCATGTCCTCCCTCACGTCCCAGCCCGCCGCCGCCTGCACATGCAGGTCCCATAACTTACGGGTCAGGCGCTCGTGTTGCCTTCTGCGGGAGAAAGCTTGCCGCTTGCTGGCCTTCTGGAAGAAGACCTCGGTCCTTTCTTTGATGCTGGCCCACCGCTCTGTCTGATTCAGGTACAGGCTCTTGGGGGTCCTAGAGCCTGCATAGTGCTCTCTGTAACTTTGCTGGGTCTTTTCGTCTTGCCCGCGGCCCACCGCGGCTGCATGCAGTCATGTAGGAACTGCTCCGAGCCCTAGGACAGAAGCAGGTTGATGCAGGAGATTGTGTGCTGGGGAGGGAGAGTGCTCGGGGCTCAGATCAGGCCTTGCCCCGCTGAGCAGTTAAGCCAGCAGTCCAGCAGTGACGGCTTAGGCGCCAGCAGACTTGGTACCCGTTTGGCTTCCCAGGGAAAGGAGAGCGGGCCGCCAGTCTGCCCCATTTCCTGTCAGCAGCTCCCCGATTCCTCCCGAGCAGATGGACTCGGGCTTTGACGGCGTTCCTGGAAAGATCCCTGCAGGGTGAATCGCGGGGCTCATTTGGTTTATTTTTGGATACAGAAAGGAGCCAAGTGAAGCCTGGGGCGCTGTCACCATTTCAAACTTTCTCTCCCCTTCCCAGCCAGCAGCACAGGGCCCAACAAACAAGCCCCCAGTGCTTGCCTGTAACCTCTGGGCAGCGTCTCTTCAATATTAGGCTGCCAGGGTTCATCCTGTAACAAGTCCTGCTCTAACAGATGGCCATAGCTGGCAACACCGCAAGCA